GAGGGCTATTAAAGTAATATATTTTCAATATATGACCAATGACAACCATAAGGCCTAAAAACATTGACCCAGGTGACTTGGTTTCTACAATTTTGGTAAAGGACTGAGTATGAATTATAATTAAGCAAACATTTGCCTGGTAGATGTCAATTAGGAAAGAAGAAAGGTTTTGAAGATTCTTTAACAACTTTTTGTCATCCATTTCTATCAGACCCAAGGATGTCAGATGCCATAAAAATTTGCAATTATATATTTTAAATATGATTTAATATACATACATGCATACTATTTTTCATCCATTGATGATATACTAATGCAAAAAATTGATTGAAATTTGTATTGCTGTTCTGGAGTTTTCTTTACTATTTCAAATTAATCTCAACATTTTATCTGTTTTCTTCAAAAATAAATGTTCTATCTCCATTACCATTTTAATTCTAACTAAAATGCATGAAAGTTTCCGATAGAATGTTCTATCTCCATTTTCAATGTCATTTTTTTCCCATTTTTCTGCTCAAATTTACGTAACATTAAATATATTTTGCCTTAGATTAGCATATTTTAAGTATCTATACTTTATCTCATAGTCCAAAAAGCGATGAGTAAAAAGACATTGATCCCCGAACTTTAACTTCAATTTCCAATTTGCAAAATTCAGTTAGAACATTATAATTCTCTGGCGACGATATTCTATCAATATTAAATTTCGAAAATAAAATTAAGGACAGGCGATACGTTCCTCAATAATGTATATTTTTTTTCTGAAATTTTGTCATTGAAATATTGCTACTTTAACATGTTTACTCACAAAAATTGAGGTACCTTACCATGCATTTGTGCACGATACCAGAGAATAATTTTTTCTTATATAATCCTTTTGGAAAAAAAAATTAATTTGACAATATCAACTTTTTTAGTGTTTGGATTTTCTAAAGACGATTAGAAACTGGTTTAGAAATCAGAAGGTAATTAAACTTTTGAATCTTTTTCATACATGACGAAGATATACATAACAGATATTTGAGGAACGTATCGTCTGACCTTATAAAAAATCTATAGATCTATAATAATTGAATGTATCCGTGTTGCTTTTCAATAACAGGGAATTGTGTACTTCACAATAAGAAGAAAAACAGAATGAATAAAATGAAGTGTCTTTATCTATTAATTGAGATCATTTCTTTGCAGAGAAGAAATGACTGTTGACAGAAAAATTACACTAACGCCGTGTTAAATGTGTAATTTGTTGATGAAGATGAAAAGTCGGAGAGACATTTTACTCTTGCTAAAGTTGCTGCATTTATCAAAAAATAATGGACATTATGAAGGAGAATAATAATAACACAATCTTTCGTTTTATCGAAGTATCTAATCATATTTACCAAGAAACCTAAAATGTAATTTGTTGATAGATTCCCTATCCTCTGTGAGAATGTATATTCAGTAAAACTCGGTTATAGCGAAGTTCTGGGGACCTGTTAATTTACTTCGTTATATTTACATTTGCTGTGTTTTTCTACTAAGAGAACTGTGAAATTGATTTAAAAGTCATTTTTGTGCATACTCACGCGTAGAAATATACACGGTGAAACTCGCGATAAAGTGACGTCACAATGAGGCTACAGAGACGTAAATAAAAATGTTACGATATAGGGCAGCAAGAAATTCAAATATTGAGTATATTATTAGTGCTTTTAAACTCGTAAAATGTAAATATAAGGAATGTTTTTAAGCTTAGTGTGAATTATTGGTGTGTAAATCACACAGACTTGCACGTAGGCATATTTTTCATGAAGCGTTTATTACAATCCGGGATTTGGTCTAGTTCACGTTCATCCTGGTGAAGTAATTTAGTTTGTTAATACCATTATGGCGGAATGACTTAAGCCTGTGCATCCAGAACTTTTTCTTGCCTTTTCTCTGAACGTCAGTCCATCTTGGATTATGTCAATAACCACTACTGTCATGTCCTCCCATTTGTGACCTTCAAGGTTGAAATGTTCCCCAACGGGTTCATTGAGTTTTTTGGTCCTAATGGTAGAACGTTGATTATTGACTCTCCTGCGGAGATTTCAGTATGTTGGTGAAACAGAATCTAAAAGGAAGTAATTTATTTAAAACAATTTTATAGATTATCAATTTATCTAGATGCTATGGAGCTGCACAGCGACCGAGAAATAAAGAACATTCCTATCACGATAAATGCATTCCTTATTAACCTTGAAAGTGAAAGGGCATAGACTAGACTGTTTGATTTGAAAATGGAATATCAATTGCTTGTATGATGTATACTTTAAAAAGTGCTGGGAGTCGGCAATACAATATTTTTATACATAACATAATTTAAGCAAAGTAGGAATTATTTAGCTATTGTAAGCATTCTGACAAAATTACGAGTATTTCAGAAATGTCTCAAACTAGCTCCCAGCACTACAAGGGGTCATTAAAAAGTTCGTGGACTATCGCCATAAAATTAAAACCGTTTTAGGTACATCAATGAATTTTAAAATATTAAGTTAGAATCATCTTTTCTATCTATAGAATAAACCACAAATCATAAGTTTTATTTTTTAAAAGAAATTGGTAATGTTTTTGTAAGAAATGGTATGTCTATAGACGGCGTAACCTCGAACATGACGTTCTTTTTCAACCTGAGCGTAACTGAGAAAAACTCGTTTGATATGAGCATCCAAAAATCTCGATAATTCAGTCATGTAATTGGACAAAATTGTTCCGCAAAATGTGCAATTTTTACATCATTTTGTAGGTTCTATGAAATTTTATCGTATATGAGTGTCCAAACAATTAAGGGCTTGAAAATGACGTCAAAAAGGGGGAGGGGTTTCTCTTTCCGACATTCTACAACGTTTTGCCCTAAAAAAAAACCTGGTATAGACCAGGGGAATGTTTAAACTGTCTACAGAGAAATAAAATGCATCCAGAGTAGTTGTTTTTTAAATGCCAAAAGAGATTCAGAGAGATGAGAGATGCACAGTTAATGTCGATTTGTAGTCAAGGTGTGAAAAGTTAATCACGTCAAAAAGTGGCGTTGATCATGTGTGGTAGATATTGAACTCCAACCAGCAAAATATGCTGCCATAATCAAGCAAGGATTTTGCCCCATGTATAGATTCATTTTCAGTTTTATATGCATTGAAATCAGTTGTTCATGACATTGTCATGTCATATAAACAAGACAGGCCCCACCGCCATAAAACATACTTAAGTCTGAGAATGTTCTCAAGTCTGAGAATTTTCTCAACTCCTCAATTCTCAGACTCAACCGCCGCCATAAAAAAGTTGAGTAACAAAAAAATTCTCAGAATCAGTTTTATTCTCAAATATTTGAGAACACAAAAAAGGTTACTTAAGTCTATTCTCAACCATCCAAAATGGCTGCTGCAGTTAGACATCGACGAAGACAGCGAAGGCAAAGAAGAGTTTTACCGCGTCCTCGGATTTTTTGGGATAGAAGCAATCCTTTGGAGAGTCTGGATGAGGAGGAGGTGTTTCAGAGATACAGATTTCGACCAGCCTCTATTATTTATATTGTCAATTCTCTCAGAGACCCCTTGGAAAGGGAAACGAAGAGGAATAAACCCATCTCCCCTCTGCTTCAAGTTCTTCTCTTCTTACGCTTTGTTGCATCAGGTGCACATCTGAGACTAGTGAGTGACAGTCTACACATTTCAGAGTCTTCAGCTGGGCGTATTGTTAAGGCAGTAGCTGCTGCACTCATCCAGAGATTCATGAGAATCATAGTGTTTCCAGCGGGTGAGATGGCTGTGCGAGTGATGGAAGGTTTCCGCAGAATTGCAGGTAATGCCACTAGCATGATAAACAACTCAGAATTCTAAAATGAAAGTAGAGTCTCGACAGTTCTTTACGTCAATTACGAACTTAAAGTTCAGCACAAGTAGCAAACATTATCAGTTCAAATATTGGTAGGTTTATAAAAACCCATTTTACAGTTTTATACCCATTTTTGGTGCTTCCAGGTATTCCGTGAGAATCAAATTCTTTGGAATAAATCTTACCAAATCACAACAGCGATCAGTTTCCAAGGGCCGTAACTATTATTGGGTTTCCAGAGGTTTCGTCCCTTAATAAATTCGGCTACTATAGTTTTGGCCCCAGGCCCAGGATATGACTTTTTTTGTTTTGCTTTGTTTTCCTTCTCACAGTAGTTTTTGGAATAATAAAATTGTAAAAGGGAAAATAAATTATAGCCTAATAGGGTTTTGTGGGCTAGGTGTACATTGCTCACCCGGGATTCTAACTCCAAAAAGAAACTCACTGTACATGTATGAAATATATGAAATTGTGTTTTTATACTGCTTAAGTTTTGAAATGCAGAAATGCAAAGGCAGACAGTAATTATTGAATGCAAAAAGTCAGGTACTTTGGAAAAATTATCGAAACTATTTTCAATATGTACTATATTTCTGTGATTTTTTTTAATTATGAGCAGTGAATAGTAAAGCAGGTTATAAAAGGGGGATCACATTAATTGTCTACCTAAATAATTCAAATTTTGATACTGCACTTAAATACACTCAATGGATAAATAAATAAATAAATAAATTAATGAATAAATAAATAAAATCCTATGAATGGGGGTTAAATAATGATTTAACTTATATATTTGTATATACATGTAGCTCTGTTCTACTGTAGAAAAAACTGCAATAAATTATTGTTAAACTGCCTTGCTATTTACCTTTCATGGTTTTTGTCAGGATTCCCTAAAGTCCTTGGCTGTATTGATGGAACTCAAATTCGCATTGCCACACCAAAATTTAATGAAGCAGATTATGTGAATAGAAAAGGCTTTCATAGTCTGAACGTTCAGGTACTATTTCACAAAACAATATAAATATTTTGAAATCTCTTTGAATTTACCTCTCTCATGTTTTTTTAAAGAAATAAATAAAAGCTTCAATACCTATTTTTATAAAAATAATAATTATACAATCATGTGCATATATATTTTTTTCCAGATGGTATGTGATCCAGATTTCCGCATCACATCACTCTCTGCCCGATGGCCTGGGTCTTGTCATGATGCCAGAATTTGGAGGACATCTGGTTTATATCAAAAATTTGAAAATGGTACATGTATTTATTTAGTAATTTCTTTCAGTACTACCTACATATTCACTATATTAAAACTAATATGCATACAAAATCTTCTTTTGTATAGCCCAATTACTAGCAAGTTAGGAATTATACCTACAATCAGATTTCATTTTTAATGCAGGTGATTTTGATGGCATTCTATTAGGAGACTCTGGGTATCCACTAACCAGATATTTAATGACTCCCTATTTGACACCTCGTGACCTATCTGAGGAGAGATTCAACTCAAGTCTTTGCAGAACACGGGTTGTAATAGAACAAACCTTTGGAATTCTAAAAAGGAAATTCCAGGCCTTACATTTTGGTCTTCGGACAACACCTGACCAGGCAGTCACATACATTACTGCATGCTGTATACTACACAACATTGGTTTGGAGAGACAGGACACCATGATCAGCACTGACTGCAGAGACTTGAATATTGCGGAGTGCCAGCAGCAAGTGATTAATGGTCCTTTGCCACAAGCCAGAAATGACGGAATTGCAAAGAGGCAATCTATCACACAAGGGTTCTTCTGAGGTCTTGATGTTTGAATTGAAAGGTGTCACTATCAACCCTCAAGCAAATTTCAAAACAAAAATTAGACCAGTATTGAATATCATAATCAAATATTTAATTTTGTCTACATTTCTGATAAGAGACCCATGGGTCACATCACTCACATTAGCACTTTGACTAGAGAAAAGCAGAAATACGTTCAGTGTTGAAAACTTAAATTATATATAAGTGGTCCAAACCTAACACTCCACCCTACCCCCATCCCCCAAAGGGGGGGGGGGATTCGAACAAACTTGAATCTACATCTACACTAACTGAGGATGCTTCCATATTTCTTTGACTCATAATGGCTTTGGAAGATTTTAAAAGATTTATCTCTATATCTTTCTATAAAAAGTGATCCTATATTAAGGCCCCACCCTGCCCCTGTGGGTCATTATTTCAACAAACTTGAATCTACACTATGTTTGTTTGTTGTTTAATGTCCCTCCTGAGAATTTTTCACTCATATTGAGAAGACACTACTTGCCGGTGGAGGGCTGCAAATTTTGACCTATACTTGGCAATCAGGGCCATTGAGGAGTGAGGGATCTTTTTCGTGCCAGCACCTACTGTGACACGGGACCTCAGCTTATACGGTCTCATCCGAAGGACCGGTGTTCACATTCCGCAGTGGGATTCGAACCCACGACGTAAGGATCAACTCCTTACACCGCGACTCTATAGCAGATGCTCTAATCAGTGCGCCACGCGGGCGACTCTACACTATGTAAGAAAGCTTTAATTTATATGTTTCATCTTTTTGGCTCAATGGTTCTTGAAGATTTTTAAAGGATGCCATTAAATTTTCAAATTCTTAATTGTCTCTCCTTGAAAGAGGGTATGGCCCTTCACTTGAATAAACTTGAATCCCCTTCACTTAAGGATGCTTTTATAAGTTGAAATTGTCTCAGTGGTTCTTGAGAAGAGGTCAAAAATGTTAAAAAGTTTACAGACGGACAGATGCCAGACAAAATATGATCAGACTCTCAGCTCAGGTGAGCTAATAAACATTATCATTTCCTTTAACTAGATAACAGAATATGATTTGTGGTATTAGCTTTACATTATTTATTTAGCTTTCTGTCATCATGAGCTGCCATCACCAATAAGTTTTTCATTTGGCTATTAATGAGTGCAGTAATATATTATCAGAAAAAAAGAATAGGCTTTTCAAGTTTGATTTATTTTATTGTTTAATAATTTTGTTTAATATGAAGTTTCAAAATTTCTCTGTCACTCGCACATACTAATTTATCTATTAACATTCTGGCAATGTTGTTAATTGTTCCACAAGACAGGGGAAGGATGCTTGAATTTCAAAAACCAGTTTTTGTTTCTTTAAAGTCAGCACCTCTTTCTTTAAAGTTAGAACTTCCCTCTCCTCTCTAATCCTTTCAATCTCCTCCTCTAGTCTTTTGTTGTCGAGGACCAAATTCCTCTTTTCTAATTCATCCAAGCATTTCCTTGATTCCTTCTCTGTAAAATTTTAAACAGATTAATGTATGTCTGTAACAAGTATGTCTATAACAAAAGAAAATGTTACATATATGTTATGTATTATTTCATCATTTTGACTGTGTCTGCATGTAGACTATCTGAATTATTAGCAATAATTTTGGGTGAATTCTAAAGTGCAGAATACAATTTAAAATCTTGCAATTTTTAAAATCTAAAGTTCCAGCATATTTAATAGGAATTTTTGTAGTGAAAGAGTTATTCATCTGATAAACAACAAAATTGAAATGTGTTTGTTAATAAATTCATACATATTTTACAAACCTTTGTTGTTTACTCTCTTTTTACCTTTTGGATGCTCTGCAAATTAAATGCAAACAAATACTGTTAAGTAATATACGAACAGAAACATAAGAGGCCCTGGAGGCACCTTTACCACAATGCTCACCTGAGTCACACTGGCTTTCCTGTTTTTAGATGTAAAAATGTATGTACATGCATCGCAAATACTTTTAATGTATGAAGATATATACACTCACGATGAGAAAAAAAATCAGTGACCACTGATCCTGGGAGACAAGTATGAAATGATACCCGCTTGTCCCCTTGATGATTTTGCTGGTTTGAATAATACACACTGACTTTGTGTAGCTAAATTATTGGAACAACCATTACTTCTCAACGTGAACATGAATTTCAATTTTTACTTAATTTGACATTTACTGGAACAGCATTCAAAATCAGAGACAAGCAGATTATGATGCATTCAATGTTTGTGACGTCAAAATAAATTCATAACTTTAACATTTTGACCTCCCTGTGAGTGTTAAGTTGTGGTACATGTATTATAAATGCCAAAGTTTTCAGTATATATGTGTTACAGGTAAATCAGACATCAAATGTAAATATAAGCTGAATTTAGTTAATAAAATAAATTCCATACCATGCATGCTGATATCTTCCAACTCTGCACTTCCTGCATTTTAATCTCAACAGGCTCTTTTCTACAAATATTGAAAAAAGTCAAAATACAAAAAAGCTTAGACAAAAAAATTAATTGAATCTTTATTTTATTTTTTTTTTTTGTTTGGGGGGGGGGGGTTCTGAATACAATTGCTTTTTAGATTATGTACCTTTTTGTGTACTTTGTTCAGATGCATGAGTTAACTCTGCTGTCATGGATTGAAATGGGACTGGTGCTTAAAATCAAGATAAATGTATGCACATTATATTGTTTAATTTACATGCAGAACTACATAAATACATGTATAATGTCAGCTGTTTATGGCAATTAAACTACATTTGGAAGATAAAATAAATATTTCTTCTTTCTTTCTTATATCTTAATTAGTTGTTAACATTTTATTTAGAACAAGGTGTCGAAGTAATAAAAGTACATTAAAACATGGTTACAGCAAACACGCTTATGATGAATTCATGCTTGTAGCAAAGTGATTTTTATTCCCTGTGGTTTTAAAACATCATTAACTTAATGGATATAACAAATTATGTTTAAAACGAATCAAAAGTTTTGTCCCAAGTACTTCACTATAAGTGGGTTTTTTTTCTGTATTGATAAATGTACGGTACCATCAGTGTCAATCCCTCCTTCCAGTCCATGTATGTTTGGCTCCCCATCTGATAGGCCTAGAAAGGTCTCCTCCCCATGAGTAAGTGGTGGTAATGAGGGCCCCCCTCCAGTTTTGGGTTTTTGATACTGTCCAACTTCTCTTTGCCTGCAGAGAAAAAAAACTATAATGATAATAATAATTCTAACATTTCTGAACTACGGCCATAACTTTTATATACATATACATGATTTATCATTATAGTTAATTCATGCATGAATGAATTCATCATTGTGTTTCAATCACCATGATCAAATAAAAATTAACAAATTTTAAAGTAACATGTTACTCAATAAAAATATATGTTATACTTACTTAATGACTTGATATTATAGTATTTTTTCCTAATCTCCCCCAATCCCCTTTTCTTTGTGTTAAACTGACTTGACAATAACAAAAGTAAAAGTAAACAAAAAGGGGATTTCCTTTTCTATTTTTAGCAATGCACATGAATTTTTATCGTGTACAGCTGGTGTAAACATCTATATAGTATTCACAAGTCTGCCACAAAGGTAGAACCATTTAAGCATAAAAAGTCATGCATATATATTTATATACAGTTATTGTGCATTGAATAACATACATGTTTAAGGTAATAATTTTTAACTCGGCTAATGACCGCTGGCCTAACAACTGCGACCTACTTTGATTAAAGAGTGTATTCTGTATTAGGTATTTCAAAGTATAATTAATGCTTTGAATTTTTCCATTAAAAAAACAAACTTACGAGTTTAATTTGTCAGCAATGGCATTCCACTCCTTTCCTCTGATGTCTTTTATTTTGCCCTTTACCCCGCTTCCCTTTAATGGGCCAAACAGTGCCTAGACCTCTCTTTCACATTTTCTATCAATGCTATTTCCTCTTCTTTGCTCCAATTTTGAGCTCTAACTCTTTTCTCCATGACTTCCATCCTAATATTTCAGAATGCAGACGACATATGACAGTCCCGAATTTGTTTACATGTTTTTCCAACAATTTCTGCCCTCTCGCTACTAAAGAGTTCCACTGGGCCGCTTTTAACATTGAGAAAAATCCGCGAAAACAGTCTCGCGAGAAAAAAATCTTGAGAAAATTCTCAACTCAAGTCTTGAAAATTACTCAGCTGAGAATATTCTCAAATCGTTTTATGGCAGTGAATTTAAGAATATTCTTAGCTGAGTAATTCTCAAGACTTGAGTTGAGAATTTTTTTGAGAATTCTTAAAGTTTTATGGCGGTGGGGCCAGGTTTTAGTTTTAACTTAACTCACGGGAATCTCATCAAGATAAGTGTATTGAGACGGAGGGAGTATGCATTGAGAAATAATGTCGTTGTCGGACGACATGAAAACAAAGCAGGACAGCGCCGATTGATCATATATATATATATATATATATATATATATATATATATATATATATATATATATATATATATATATATATATATATATATATATATATATATATATATTCATTTTATAATAATTTGGCAAATTATCAACGTATCAAGCTAAAATTTTCAACATTTCTTAAACTTTTGTTTCCTGGTGAGCTTGAGATAAAAGATACCACAGAGTCTGACACATCTGTTTCATATTTGGATATTTTACTTGAAAAGGACGTTAATGGTAATATAACAACCAAGCTTTATGATAAACGTGATGACTTTAACTTTTCAATAGTCAACTTCTCTTACTTATGCAGCGATATACCTTCATCACCTGCATACGGGATTTACATCTCTCAGTTGATATAGTACTAATTTTATCGCATCAGTCCACGAACTTTTTGATAAACCCTTGTATTCTTGTAGTCTATGTAAACCTTTTTAATGTGTATCATTTTTTTTTTCTCAGAAAAAATTGCGTACATTGTATGAGCTTAAAGAAGCGTCATTTTCTACATTTAGTATAACAACTCT